ACATTTATTTTAGGTGATTTTTTAATAAATATAAATCAAATTAATTTCAGGTCATTAATTATGGGGATATTTATTTTGGAGAAATTAATAGTTTTTGTATGCATAGGTATTGTTATATGGTCCTAATTTGTAGAATTCTAAACATTATTGGTAAGTTAATTATTTTTTAAGTACAATTAGTAATCCAATTAAGAGTAATAACACTTTTATTTCGCGGATATTGTTAATATGGTTCCGAACGAGAAATGGGTTTATTATGTCCTTAAAGTTTCAATTTTTTTGAATTTTTTATGAACATTAAGAGTATATAATAAATCTCGTACTTATTCAAATTTTCAAAAAATAATTGATATACTATGAATAAATTTAAATTTTATATACGAACCAAATTTAAAATTTTTCATATTAGATTTATAAAAATTTAAAATAAATAAAAAAAATCAGGGATTAATTAAGTTTATATTTTAAAATGTAACAGAGGTTAATTTCTAAAGGATTATGAGAATTAAGATGAAAAATTTTGAAAAATATAAAATTTACCCGAAAATTTGTCATGGTATTTCAATTTTGTTAACAAAAACTTAATTTTTTTTATCAAATTAAAGGGTAAATGTGTAAAAAAAAAACTCTGAAAAATTACCAAATTTTGTCTTGAAGATTAAATATCAAACTATATAATAAACAACTATAATAATAAAAAAAAATTATTTATTTTTTATTCAAACGTCAAATATAATTATATTATGAGCGTTAAAAAAACTATTTAATGGGATTTTAATTAGGATTTGTTAGACAAACACACGACTCTCCACAATGGTATGATATTGTCCACTTTGAGCATAAGCTCTCATGACTTTGCTTTGGGATTCCCAAAAGGCCTCATACCAATGGAGAGTGTATTCTTAGATTATAAACCCATGACCATTCCCTAAATTAACCGATGTGGGACTTTCATCATCCAACAGGATTAATATCAAATAACAAATAATCCATAAATAAAAGAAAATAAAAGAAAATAAGTAAAGATCATGAGACATTAGGCCTTTAGGATTAGAACGTTCATTCCATTATACTTAATTTGGAGAAGGAACATTAATTAATCCTTTTCTCCAATGATACATTAATAAAAATATCACAAACACTTCTAGAAAGTTTACTAAAATTCTGATAAGCAAGGAACAATAGGAATGACAGATTTCGATTTTCCAATAACATTTTGACAAAACACTTTGGGTTCGTCATCGGGATGTGACATTTGTATGTCCACATGGTCCAATATAATATTGGTGCAACTAGCTTCAGAACATTTGAAGGTAATTACGTTTTCACCCGCTGATGTTCCATTAACTTCTCGATAAGTCACATCGCTCACTTTTATGCCCGTTTCCTTATTTTCCCTTGTAGATGCAAAAGATGTGTAATATTGATCAATAATGATCGGGTTTTTTACATCCTCGAATGTTATTTTTTCAAATGTGATGTTCCTTGCATATCCATATCCGCTCTGTAATTACGTTAAAAAAAATAATTAATTTTTTATAATATACATAAAATTAATTAAAACTAATTATCACCTCCCATGTCTTGATTCTAACTCCATTTTGAGTTCCCTTCAAAAGACTATCGCTCACATAGATATTTTCGACAGAGTTGAATTGCCCATCTTCTCCCAAACTCCCAACGCTACATTCAAATAAAACCATACAAAATTAAATAGGGAATTAATTAACATTTCATAAAATTAGATTTTATATTTTTTTTTTAAAAAAAAAATGATATTTTTACCTTATACCATGGCCGGGGCCGCAAGTGACCCCCTTGATAGTAATGTAGGAAGATCCGTTGTTAATGGCAATACAATCATCACCTTCAATAAAAATGTGTAAATATAATTATTTGTTTTTTTGTACAATATGCATTAAAATCATATATATAAACAATATTCCCGAAGAATAATACTATATGTTACCCGTTAACATGAAAGAATTTTGAATCATAACATTGGTTGATCTAGAAATGTCAATTCCATCTGTATTAGGACTGTCTTCAGGGGCATTAACGTGAATATCTGAGACAATGACATCATCGCAAAAATTTATGGAGATGTGATTCTTGGCACTGTCAATGTGTTTCGTATTCTGTAAATGAAGCCCGTTGCAATTGTGGAAAAATAATGCCTAAAAAACCATATATTATAAATATCAAATTTGAGTTATATACTCGATGTAAATTAAAACGTAAAGAAATTTTAAATTTTACCGTTGGGTGATCGCAGTGTTCTTCACAACCTTTCCACCAAAGAGAACCTTGGCCATTCATTTTTCCTCCTCCATTGATAGTAAGTCCATCTATGTCCACAAATTGAATCCATTTATCGTTATCACTTGGCCATGCATCTTTGCTCGGAGCCATTAGAGTTCCTTTAAGCTGCAAATTCACAATATATTTAAAAATCATATGATAAAAGAAAATGTGACAAAAAAAAAATATATTATATTATATGTGGAAGATAAATTACCTCGAAATTGACTTGTTCAGACTTGCAAGGACCTTGAAATGTAATAGGGTTCAAAAGGTAAATTTTTGCAACGGGTACTTGCAATGTTGGAATGCCATCGGTTGCTTCACAGACATCCTTCCAAGCTTTCACAAAAGCCTTATAACATCGAGAAAAATTAGAGAGCGAATCAATCAATTTTTCATGGAAATAAAAAACCGAATTTAAATTACATACTTCTGTATCATCAGTTTCGCCATTTCCAGCAGCTCCATAATCGAGAATATTGAAAGAAGATGAAGCTAATACAGCCCACGAGCTTGAAAAAAATAAAACCAGACACAAAAATAAGCTTCATTTTGCTAAAAATGAAGAAAAAAGATGGAAATAAGAAGAAGATTAAGTTCAAACGTGAAAGGATAGTGAAAATGAATGGATGTGATGCATGTTTATATAGTGTTAAGATTGAAGTGGAAAATGTAAAGTTTTTAATAGAAAAAAAATCTTTTTTTAGCATGAAAGGTTAAAAATGGAAATTATCAATTGAATAAGATTTGGATTTCTTAAATTATAGGCTTGGGATATGCAATCTCCATATATAATTTATTAAAATTTATTAAAATGTATTAAAATAAGCAAATTAGGGGTGGGGGCATTTATTTTACGTCTTTATTATTATTAATATTATTATTTTGAGAATACCAGGTGTTGGATGATGAAAGTCCCACATCGGCTAATTTAGGGAATGATCATGGGTTTATAAGTGAGGAATACTAACTCCATTGGTATGAGGCCTTTTGGGAAACCCAAAACAAAGCCATGAGAGTTTACACTCAAAGTGGACAATATCATACCATTGTGGAGAGTCGTGTTCGTCTAACACCAGGTTTTATTTTAGAGATTATAAATCAATTTCATACAAAAAAAAAAAAAAATCATTTATTTATTTTTTAAGATAGGGACATTTTCGTCCTAGTTTCACACTTACACAAAATTCATGATTTGTTTTAATATCACAAAATTCATAAATTTATTTTGTGTACTATTTAACTTAGAATTAATTAAATTTTCTGATAATTCTAAATAAAATGTAATAGAGATAAAATTTGGATATAGATAGAATAATTGTAGGCGTAATAATTTATTTTAAATTATTTTTTAAGTTAATACGATAAAACATACATTTTTTTTGTAAAATACATGAAGAGAATGATTTGGCAAGTGGAGAGCCCGAGGGGTAAAATTGGTAATAGTCATATTTTTTATATAGTACTTGAAATTTTGATTTATATAAAAAAAACGGATTATAATTAGGATTTGATTAACTTATGGGCATGAAAGAAGCAATATTCATATATACATATATATAGATAGATATATATGTGTATATCAATATTTTTTGGGAGAGAATTCCCCTTACTCGACTTTCATTCTTGATCCACTCACAAACCCCTCTAGATGAAGTGAGAGAAAGGAAAGAAGTCGATCTATTGCTCTTGTTGTTGCTTTTGGCAGTTCGGTCCGATCAGTCGGATTCATATGTTTTATGGGCTATTTGTCTTGGTTTATAGGCCAGATTCACATCATAGCATTTTGGATTTCTATTCAAATGTATTATTATAATGCAGCCAAAAGTGGAGAGTTTTTTTTCTCAATTTGGTGATTAATTAATGAGTCGAGCAATTTTATTATTTTCATTAATTTTTATTTTTATTTTTTAATGGGGTGTTTATTCTTTTTAGGCGAGAAGTTAACTTTTAGAGTTTGAACTAAAATAAGTAAGAAAAGTGATATCAGTTTTTTTTTCGTTTTTTTTGCGTGAAGGTCATAAATCGATACACAATTGAAACTCGTGTATAATACAAAATTAAAGATTTGAGAATTGATAAGATAATTTCGAGAATTGATAAGATAATTTCTAAAGTTTATGGACTACAAATATAAAAAATTATGAATTAAATTTGTAATTTCTAGATATCCATGTATCAAAAAAATAATAATAATTTTTTAAATAAATAAATAAAACAATAAGATGAAAAAACTACTCATTAATGAAAAGTCACACATTTATCTTTAATATTATGATGATCCTTACATTTAAATGAGTGACATGAGTTTAGTTGTTGACAAAGATATAGAGGTTACTTAAACCCACTAAGAGCAGATATTGACTGTAGCAGATTTTGGCCCGTTACGTATCGTAGTTAGTTTCACGATCTTAAAACGCGTCTATTATGAGAAGGCTTTCAAATACTCATAAGAAATGTTTCGTTCTCCTCCTTATAATTAATGTAAAATCTCACCATCCACCCGTTTTGGTGTTCAGTGTTCAATCAATATGCATTCTCAGTATATAAAACCTATATATTATTGGCTACTATTAGTATGCCACTTAATTAATTAATTTTTATTTATTTATTATCCTCCAATCATAATATTTACAAGCAATTTAAATGGTAGGGTAGGGTATAGCATTTTTGTCTCACATAAAACACATTAATGATAAAATTGTATTTTACTATAAACAAATATCAAAATATTTTCAATCTAACTTATTGTTCAATTACAGTTTATTTATTTCCCATGGATCAAAGGGAAGTAAAAAATTCAATTCAGTTCTTCTATACTAGTCCACAACAGCTACTTCCTATAAAGCCAACATCAATCAAGTCGTATAAGTTGTATGGTTTTCTTGACCACATTTTATATCAACCGACGCTGACCGATCACGTGAACTGTCGTCTCGTGTACGTGTCTTCATGAACGAATACGGGGTCTGCAGTTGTCGGTTGAGGCGGGGGAGGGGGCGGGAATTGGGGCTATGCCATTGCAATGTTTGCTGGAGGAGGAATGGAAGGATTGCCCCACACAGCAGGGTCATTCTTTGCAGAGTTCAATATGAGGTAGTAGAACAATCCCAGCGCTAAACTTGCAGCACCCACAACGGTGGCAACAGCAAAAACTCCTGGTTTCAGAACATAGCAATAGTAGTAATCGAAATAGCTGCTTTGTTCGTTCCTTCCACCGTTCAGTGCAGCACCGGTTATCAACAGGAGAAACGCTATCACAAATGTAAACCTGCAGAAAAAAAGCCATGGCTCAAACTTGATTTATCCGATGAACATAAGGAATCGAGCTTTCTTTTAGTCGTGGAATAATTCGACCAAAGGGATTCACGAAGAACAATAGATCAATCATTTCAACTGTAATGATCATGGATTAAGAAGTCTAACACAACTTTCATAATGAATTAACAACCGCAGAAGAGCCCAAAAAGATGACAACAAAAACATGGAATTGTTTCAAAGCAGAAATAAGATCATATAATCACAAACAATATCATAACAGTCAGCCATCAAGAACCCGAGCAGAATTCGAATAACCCTGCAATCTTGAGAAAACGTGTTTCGAGATCTACATTCATATAATTCATCTTATATTATTGCAGCAAGCAGCAAGCATCAAGCCATGAACTAAATGCAAGCTAGAATGAGGAAGGAAGGGTTGAAAAGTACCACGAAACGACGAAGCAGACAACGGCTGTTCTCCATTTAGAAGCGGGAGGCCGAGGACCCCTCGTGCAGCAAATGCACCCCGTCGAAACATTTATTAATATCTAAGCAAGCAAAAGAGACAGAGCTGCTGTCAAACCAAGGGCAGCCGCAGGACTCTGAGGATATTTGCACATAGTAGGAGTGACTTGAACGACTTGACTACTCTGTCAAATGAAAAAATGACCAGACTTATCAGGCTACGATCCCATACAAAATTCCTAAGAACTATGTCCTGAATTAGTAACTTCAAACAACTCAAGACCATAACGAGCATCTCTCAAAATTAAAACTCGAGGAAATTTAAATTTCAGGGACAAATTGGAAACTATGTAATTTTTTTAAAACCAAACCAAATTCTAATTATGAACCAAAATTAAAGTGAAGAAACTGTCTCTCAATTTGCTTAACTTCTAAAAATAGAAAATCACAAACAAAATTATTATCAATTCTCTAACTATTACTTGAATCGCTTGCATATAATTGGAAGTTTATGGCCTCAACCTCAAAAACAAAGAAGATGATCAATTCAGTAGGGCTTGGAAACAAATACAGCTTAAAGGAAGCAGCCAAAAACAACTAAAATTCATTAGGCTGGTGGATTTTTTTTTTCATTATTTCAAAAATTATACATATTCATAATGCATATTATATTAATAACTAAAATTTTATAAAATTCAAATATCAAACATTTATCAGGCGCCACGGATTACTAATACAGTCACAAACATTAAATATTCTTAATAGTTTTAAAAGCAAGGTAGTGTTTGGTTGGATTAGATTGGATTGTAACCTTCTTTTGTTGATTAGCCATATGCACTCCACCAAAAAAATATCAACATACAAATCAGACCAATTTTTTTTGTTTTCAAAAAATTCAACTCAAATCGAAAAAAACTAATTCAATCCAGACCAACAAGGTTTGGGTTGCCTAGCTTGATCTGATCCGGTTATCGAATCATATAAACATTTCCATTTTATAATGCATTATTGAACCAGTTATGTATATTGGGTTAGAACTAAAATGATGCATCTCCACTAACTAATAAGAAAATTTTAAATTGAGGAAGTTAGAAAAAAATTAAGACCAATTAATTAATATTTTAAACTATTTATCATGAGATATAACATAATTACAAGAAAATTCAAAATATTGACCAACACCACTCCTTAGCCTATAATTAAAAATGCATTATAATTTATCACATGTCAAACGAGTTTATTAAATAACTTTATAAATAAAAAATACCAAATATATTTAACATTCACATTAGCTGTTTTTGATAAATGGAAAATTCAATAATTAGTTTTAACAGTAAATTATAGATAACTAAATAATGAAAGAATTAAATATTCGATACTCAAAAATCGCAAATCTTTTCACGTGATTTTATTTTAGTGTTAAAAAGAAAAAATGGAAACCGTTAAATGACGGCGTTGGGGTGGTAGGTTGGGTCCTGGGGTGGGAAAAATGCATGACTTGACCACTTTGCGGAAGGAAAGAAAAAGAACATATAAACGGAATATGCAACGACCGTGAAGAAACGGAGGCCACGTGTACCAATAGAAAACGAAAAGAAATTCCGTACGCGAAATGAAAGTAGGTGCGGACGAACGGAGAAGGCAATTTGCGTTACGAGTGAGGAAGCTGTTGAGTTTTGTCGCCTTTTGGCTGATTTTAATACGACGCCGTACTTGGCGCACTATATAAAATGAGTTGCCGCTATCGATTAGAATCCAGAATCATAAGCAATTAATCGCTTGTTCATCATCATCGTCCCTCTCTCCCTTTTTTCTTAGGCGTCGTTTTTTTGGTTCTTCGTTTTTTCTCTCTCTCTCTTTTTGAGCTTGAATTGTATGGCTGCTAATTCGAGGAGCGCAGGAGCGATCGCCGGCTTGAGGAAACGAATCACTGACCAGATTTGGACCAGAGATCCACTTCGCAACTCTGCGATCTCTTCCGCTGCTCCGAAGTTCAGGTTCTCCTTCTTCTTCTTCGATTTTTTTTCTTGTGCGAATGTTCATGAAGTTATTGTGCTGTTACTTTGTTTTGTTCTGTTATTCTCTGGTAGATAGCTATATTGCATTCTTGTTGCGAAATTTTCTTTAAAAAGTGGTTCCGATTGTTGTTGCATTTCTTCTTCTTCACGCTGATTGCCTTTTGAACGACTTCACACCGACGCACACTTAAGATAAACGTCTTCATGACGTAGCTCATAGTACTCTCTTCTTTAGCTCTGTTTTTTTCTTTTGATCATATACTTATACTCGGTTTCTTCTGATTTTGGTCTTTGTCTTCATCACAAAAGGATTTAGGATTCTAATTCGCCTTCGAGTTTCCCGCCATATTCAATACTACACCTACCTCGCCTAGAAAATTGGAATTTATGATTTCCTTCGCTTGATGCTTTTTTGCCTCTCTTCCTCTTCGTTTTTTGGTTTGATTTTATGGAAGTTTTCGCCAATTTTATTTTCATTCGGTGTTTGTTCATTCACGTTGTTTATGAGTCGATATTGCTTGCTGTGTGGAAGGAGACTTGGAATTAGAGAGTGCTAATTCTTATTCCTCTGAATTTTTTGTGAAACTTGGGGAAGGGGCGAACGAGTAAATCCGGTTTACGAAAATTACTCCTTATTTTATTTTAGTAAATAACTAATCTATATTTTATTTTAGTAATTAACTAATTTATCTTTAATATAATGAGTAACTCATTTATTATAAGAGTTATTAATTAATTTGTTCTACTTCTACCTATGTTTTAATTCTCATTTTATATTCTATTTTTGAAAAATAAAACTATCTATATTATGAATTATTTTACTTTTTTACGTGTTTTCTTTTCAAACATATTTTATTTTTTACTATTACTTTCAGAATTTAGCCAATTTACTAATTTGTTACTGTATGTCTATGTTTTAAAAAATCCATGTGAAATCAAACCGAGTCATTTTACCCTTAGTAATCTTGAAATTACGAAAGGCCTCAGCGTGATAAATTTGTGGTGATAGGATTTTATAGTACTATACCTACAATATATTTAATACATTTTAGCTTTACAATTATTTTAGTTTAATTATGGTGAAAAGCAACATTATGAAGATTTTAGCGTTTAATTAATTAAAACTAAGTGTGATTTGAAATAATATTTTATCTCAAAGTTAACATAATTTAACTTTTTCAAACCACGAATCTTCATTTTGTTTTGGCAAAATGATTCTTCAAATCTTAAACCTACCTAACACATTTTTTATTCTAAGCTTTTCAAAATCATTATTTCTTTATAAGCAATGGTTAGAATCCATCGCAATTTTGCGCTCCAAAACTCTAATTTTTCAAAATTCCAATCGATTTATTTATTTTACTAGAACTTTTGGCCAGTCAAATAATTAGATTAAGTCTGCTTTTCCATAAATGATTTAAAATTTTTTCCAACTCTGGAATCATAAATTTTCATGTAATGTTGACTTAATAACTTTATAATTTAGGAAGAAAACAAAAGACTCAATAGATCTATAGATTAGGTGACTGGCTAAAATTATATTCCACATGTCCTTGTCTAGATCTATTATGTACTTTAGAAGAAACATAATATATATTTTTAGAGAGAAGAAAAACTTAAATAATATTGTATCAATTATTTCGTCAGTTAACTATAATTTGTTTGTTTTAGTACAGTCGAATAAAAATTGATAATATGAACTAACAAGCTACAAATAAAAAATGTAAAAATAATGTAGTATTAGTTAATTATTTTAATATCAACTAATTATAACTAGGTTAATAGTTTAATAAAACATTTTATTCAGTGAACTACTTTATACTGAACAAAATAAAATTGTCACTAAAATTCACCGTCAATTGGTCAATGAAGTTTTGATATTTGAAAAGATTAAACGGAAAACACACAATTAATTATTTTAATCAATTAAACTGTCCTGTAAAAAAATTATATATTGGTAATTAAAATTGAAAACTAAACTTGTTTTTTCGTTTGTTTAAAGATCCTTTTATTCTTTCAAAAAGTTGCTTTTAATAAATATTTCAAAATTTACTGAAATAAAAATGTGTATAGATTTTAAATGTGAATTGAAATTTTATAGGAGTTTATTTGTAAGTGTGTGGCAATATTTGGGTCCAAACTTTGGTTTTAGGACATTACAATACTGTTCTAGAATCCAATTTTAACTCAAAATTCTTATGAAAAGATCGAAGTGAAGACTGGGTGTGAATATCTGTAGTGCCCCCATTTTGACGCTAAAAAATCTCTAAACAAACTCCCTAACTCGAATAAACCTGCAAGTACAAGAGTAATTGCTCGACAATTAAAGCCGAGCGTATGTGATATCTGATGTGGCTGATGTTCAGCCACTCGATTCCACATTTGGATCAACACCTTTTTTCTAAGCCCTTTTCTATTTCCTGTCTGGATTCGGCTCTTTCCCGCAGTGGCTTGAATAATGATAGGACAGAATTGGGGGCAATTGAGGGGACAGAGTAGGGTTGGCAACTCAAATAGACAACCACTATGGTGGTCTACTCCAGAGTTATTTTCTATGTCCATCCCATCCTACGTGTCTTTTCAAAATACATATCTAGTCTAATTAACCACAATATTTATTTGCTTATTGATGAATACTACACAAGGTTTTAAATTAAATATAAATGTCGGTTTCAATTTTATGATAAACATAGAAAAAAATAATGGTTTCAATAGATATTTCCTTGTCACGTGGAACACGTGTAAATCAAATTTGTTTGTATTCAATGGACTAGCTGGCTCTCATCTTGTTTGTCCAGTAAGATCCAATTGTTGATCACCAAATGTTTGGATTAGGAAAACTATTTGAACCCTCAAATATTCTACACGTACCCCACATTAAGTTGTTTTAGTAACCGCTGACATACGGTCACATGGGATAATAATTTCTCCTATTTTCATCTTTGTTTCAAAACATCTTTTATCTCCTGAAATAAGCATAATTCCCTTTCGCTAGCATTGAATGATAAATATCCCTTGCAGCATTATCATCTCTATACTACCTTTATTTTGTTCCGAGTGGGGAAGGGATGATGTGATGTTTGTCTAGAATTATTGACACTGATCGTTACTATTCTTGGCTTTTTTCGCAAGTTTGTGATATTTATTAACGGCTAAATATGCCTTTTCTAGATATTTTCTTAGCATACTATTTTTAATAATTTTACTCTTAATGTTTTCCAAAGTTTTGATTGTATTTTTATAGTGGCGGTGGTTTTCAGTCAAATCTTCATTAAATAACGTATATTAAATTAAGAAAATAGTTTAATATCAGGAGTTAAGCAATAAGTGGAAAGAAAAAACCTCCATGTGGAGGGACTGTGTCGTTCTTATCATTTCTGTTAGTTATTATTGCGTGTCAGTCCCATCGCTTTTTCTCTGTCTTATCTCAACTCAAGCGTTCTGTTGAATTCGTTTCTTATCCTTCTTAAAATTAAGATGAGTTCTTCCCCAGATGTCTGCAATCGGTTTGGATCACATTAATTATTTATAAATTTGAATCTTTATTTTCTTTTATCAATGTTTTTTTGTTTGCTTCGCTTTAATGTTTACAGTTTGGATGACATTAATTATTTATAAATTTGAATCTTTATTTTCTTTTATCAAATTTTTTTATGTTTGCTTCGCTTTAATGTTTACACTAAGGAAATTTTGGTACTGTCGAACTCAACAACTTAGAAAAGAAAAACAAAGTTTACTCAATTTTGTATTTTTCCATGCCAATCTTTTGACTTTATTTAAAAACTGTTTTACTCGTTAACTATTTATCCAAAATAATGTCCATTTTTGCAACCAAACACGTTATTTACTCTTGTTTATTAATTGGTCCAAAGTCTCTTTAAACTTCATTAAAACAAATTTTATTCTAAAACTATTTTTATACTTTCCAATTTGTCTAAAAATTTCAGTAATAATTTTAAATTTTTAAAAAAAATCAATAATATTGTTTCCTTTAATATTTTATTTTAAAAATATCTTAACTTTTATAAATGTTCTAAAATTATCCTTTTAGGAAAGTGTTTTAAAAATAACCTTAATTTTTCTAAAAATTATTGATATTTTAATTTTTTTTTTTTCTATAAAACTACCCACACTCCTAAACTGTTTTAAAAAAAAATTCATTACATAAAATGTACTAAAAAAATTTTAAAAGTAAAATTAAATAGTTTGAAGATGATAGGTAAGAGGTTGATATAATGTTTTAGTTTATAGATTAACACTAAAAAACATAATTTTATTTTTGCTTCTTTTAAATTTTCATAAGTAATTTTTATATACAGTACTTTGCCTTATTTTTTTGCATTATTTTTTTAACTTTTTTAAAAGTTGGGATATTAATGAAGCTTTTTAAAGTTTAATTATATTTTTAAAACACTATTAAGAGCCTAAAGAAATTGTTTAAAAAGATTGCTTATGGTTTCTATCCAAAACTAACTAAAAAAATTTTTTTTTTAGATCTTTTTATAAGTGTAACTTTTGAAAGTTTAGTGTGTATTTTTATTAATTTAACCTGAATTTTAATTTATTTTTGGAAACATACTTCCTTAGCTCCCTAATGTTCTATTTTAATTTCCCAAGGCCATTTTATTCATTTCTTATTTGTATTTAGTTATAGTAAATTTAGTCTACTACTCTCTAGAAAAATCTAGGGGGGGGAAAATCTAATGTATGAAGTAGAGTTCAAATTAAAGTTTTAACCTTAAACTATACCAAAAAAGGTAAATATGGTTTTATATTTGGTGGAATGGAGCATTAATAGGATGAGACTCAAACCTGAAACAGGAGGGCAGCTCACACCTCAACGTATGACAAGAACCACGACGAGCAAGTCCGACCAAGCATAGTCCCTGATGATGTGATTCAGCCTCAATCTGCTGATAAGTATTGGGCTCCTCATCCACAAACCGGCGTTTTCGGGCCGGCCACCATCAACCCTATGGCAGCGGTGGCCAACCATACTGCAGATGGTGGCAACTACTCTATTGTGGAGGAGGAAAAGGCTTGGTTCCGACCTACCAGTCTTGAGGATTCCGAGAAGCCCCACGGTTTCTAGGAGCTTGGGGCTTCCTGAGCCATTGTGGTACTCTTGGCCATCAGACATTTTAGACAACAAGTAGTTAGTTACTAAATAAAGAAGATGGCTGTTTTAGCGGTACTAAGCATCTGGAGTTGCTCAAGGCTGAGGCAATCTGGCTCAGGATGCTTTTACGGTGTTGTACCAACTTTATTACGGTGTTGGACGTTGTCTACTTCTCGTTTGACTACGCAAAATAGTGTGGTTTTATAGCTTTATCTCTCCATCCAACAAAAGGTTTACCTCTCTACTCACTACTGTCTTTTTTTTTTTAAATATTTTTCTAAATATTATCTTACACCACTTTATATTTTTATTTTACAAGCTCCTGAGAAATATATTATTCTGTTTAAAAAAAATCATTTTCACTAAACTATATAAAATGAAATGATAATTGTAACTGAAGTATATATAAGCAAAAATGAGATCTCCGCAAAAAATATGTCAATTTTACATTTCTTATCAAATTGTTCCAAAAAAACGCCACTAAGTTCCTAAAAGCTGTTTGTGCTAAATTTTAAAGTTTAATAATAATATCTAGAAGATACGTACGAAATTATTATAAAACAAGCTACCTTTTGAAAACGGAAGGGATTTTTAAACTAGTACCAGAATCTAAATCTTTGGATTTCAGTCAAGTTGAAATTCTGCCGGTATGTGAAAATAATAATAATAATAACTATCCTCAATTAAATATCGGAGGCAAAAGGATTTATTTTATTTTATTTTATTTATTGTTATTGTTATTTTGGTTCATTATTTGAAAAAAAAAGGTAAGGTTTTCGGTTTGACATAGCAAAGAAATGCAAAAGTCAAATAACATGCATCAATATCATGCATTGGTCATGTAATGAAATGGCACACGAAGGAAAACTGATAGATTCTTATCGAGATAATAATCAATTTTGGTACCTTTCATATTATGCAACCAGCCGCCCAATAAAGCATGTGGACTATACAGATTGTTGATTGTTGGTGGCACATTAATTGCTCTCCACTTCAACATCAGTCTCAACTGCTTACCTGACTGATACTAATTCAATTGATGAAAACCTGGTCATAAAGGTTTTTTCAATATACATAATTATAAAGTTTTCGTTCCCTTTTACGGCGCCAGCTTTAATACTTCTGCTACAGTGCGAAGGCTTTCGAATGACATCATACAATGTATATTTCAAAGTAACCAATCATAGTACATTATACAAACATGCTAACATTGACCTATTGATGTCACATAATCCACTTCCTAAAGAAGTACCCCGATCTTAGATGGGATTTTTAAGCAATTGAATTTCATACAAGTTCGGATATGTTTAGCAAAAAAAAAAAAACTTTGTTTATTCTTCCTTCATTTTGCCTATTTTTCTTCTTTGCAGAGGCCTTGTTCTATTATTATTTTTTTCCGTTAAAAAAATACAGGGATAAAAGGAAGTATTATAATTTTCACTTCATACGAAAAACTAAGGAATAAACAAACTACTACTCAATTGTTATCAGCAGCATCCAATTTTCGCCCCGGTTTTAAGGTAAGATTCTCATCCCCAAATAACATATAGAATAATAAAAGAATTTGTGCTATGATTATCCTAATGGTTACAACTTACAAGATAGACGTCGTTGCGTCTCCAAGGTTATTGCCAGAAACTGTTTCTGCCCCTAGTTCCCCAGGGTCCATTTGAAGGTTGGCCTGTCATTGATGTCGTTAGAAACTGTTAAACATATAATAGATCCTCCTTGACGAGAATGTCCAGATGTTCACAGCAACTCTAAGGCAATAGGGTCAGTTTTTACCTGGCATTATGATCTACTTTCTTGGTGTAGATCAATTCCTCGATCAAGATTTTAGATGGCTGCTAAAGAAACATAAAATCAATTTTTTACGACTGTTTTTCAATGAACAAGATCCAAACATTCAATTGCTGTCTTTTAATATATTTTTTTTCTAGGAAAAAACAATGAAATGTGGCCTTAGATATAAGAAAATAGTTTCTTTTTAATCAACGAGTAATTGATCAAAAGGCTGGTAGAGGAGATGCAATATAAACTCCTAGGGTTTTCAATTGGTTGTTACTGAATGATCTGTGTAGTAGAATATAGTTTCTATCATATGCAAAACAAAGGCATCAATACAGGTACAAGATTTACTTCCACTTTTGGTCGTTTTCTCAGATGCATGAAACTTAATTCATCAGACCATCGGTCTTGTCCCTAAGATCATTTACCATTTTGATTACACCATCCCTCCCCATACCAATTAAGATATAATGCAATATTTTTCAAGAGGAGTCCTTCTGTCACACGCATAATGCGTCACTCTCCGTATATAAAATTTTCAAATTATGACAGGACTTACTAAATTTACCATCGCCTAGAGGCAAAGTAGTGAAGAACTAAACCACAATCATGCAAGGACTGCTCTGGCTTAGGAACTATGAAATACAAGTACAAAAAGGGTGAACTTACAATGCCTCTGTTCAAGAACCACTGTTACGGACTTCAACATCTCTCTGGCCTTCCTATCTGGCGTGCAACCAGCACTTTCCATTTCTTTATATATTTCAGGGACCTAGCAAGATATGGTTAGGACTTGGAAGGTATCAAAAGAGTTTCTCATAGAAGATAAAAAATTTGAACCTTTCATACTTAACGATCTCATGCAGTCAAAACATACAATAAATGAAGAACTTCATCTAAAAAATTTACAAAACTCATCGGAACAAAAATTAATGTGGCCAGAGGATAAGCACCTTATGAAACTTCTTTGCACGAATATACGCCTTCATAAGGGTGGTGTAGGTTATAACATCAGGACTGATACCCTTCTCAGAAAAATATGACACAGTAATAAGGATGAATAATAGGATTATCTTGATAATACAAAAAAGGAAGAAATTTGATTGCATGCGACTTTAACCATGTTTCTGGTCTGGCTTTGCATTTCCGAACATTTAGACTTACAACTTCAACTATATGATGATAAATGGCCAACGCCTCCAAATGCCTGCCAGCAACAGCAAACGCATTGATCAGTACATTCAGCATTACAAGATTTGGTTCGATTCCTTCTGCTTCCATTAGCTCTAGCACTTTTACTGTCTCTTCACACAACCCCTGCATTGATTACCAAAATACAAGAAAATTGTCTCACAATAACTTAGTAATCACGACCAACAATATTTCTTTGTTCATATAAAACATCCAGCATCTCTGTGCAGAGAGAACAACGAACTAACAACAAACCAAGGCCATAAAAATTCAGTTAACTTTTGCAGCTAGAGAACTTGCATAATACAAAAAGAAAAATTAGTAAAGATCGGCATCAAACCTGTCGAGCAAAAGCATTTGCTATAATGCAAAAATTGCTAGCGGATGGTAGAAGACCTGCAGACTTGAGAGCAGATATACATTTCTCAGCATCCCGAAATTGACCATACTGCCCATAAATATCAACTAAAATTTCATAAACTAGGCCACTATTCTTATGCCCTCTGAGCTTCATACTATCAAGATTTTTCTTTATAATATCCCACTTTCCCTGCTCACCCAACGAGCTAATTAAAGTAATGAAAATCTTAGGATCTGGATGCATCCCCTGTTCTTGCATGTCAGTGAATAACTCCAGGGCAGTAGGAAGGTTCCCAGATTTACAGTTCCATTGTATCAGCGAATTCCAGGTCGTTATATCAGGCATTACACCATCCTGTTGCATTTTTTTGAACACTTCTAAGGCCTCGGGTAATTGACCATATTTCCCAAATGTATCTATGATACTGTTATAAATGTGTTTGTCCACAGAAATCCCTGATTTTCTTATCTCATCAACGATCCCCACTGCTTTCTTCCACATGCCATTGTTCTGATATATTACAATAACCTTACTATACACAAATGAGTTCAGCTCAAAACCTTTTCGTTTCATCTCATTAATAATAGACCAAGTATCTTCCAGCCGTCCAGCATTGGCATGATAATCCAAGAGAATTTCATACGTTTCTTGATTTTTTTGAATATCTAAATCACTCATTAACACAAGAACATCAGATGCAAGATCTAAAAGGCCTTTTCTCAAGAACCCTCTTAGTAGTGCATTGCAGACAGTTGTTCTTGGCTTACGGCCAAAACTAATCATTTCTTGAAATAAGATATCAGCTTCCAAAGTCCTGCCTACGTTTCCATGAGCTTCAATCAAATATGTGTAAGATGCTACAGAGGCATGGAGACCTACAGCCTCCATATAAGAAAGAAGAGACATGGCAGCATCAACATTCCCTACCTTACAATAGTCACGAATCAAACTGTTGCACAAATCACCAGATAGTTCCTCTTGATCTTTACATCCATGACACCTAGCGCTAATAGTATAATTATCATATAATGCTGCTTTACTGACCTTTTTTAGGCCATTCTTCCTAAACAACTGCAATACAGCATCGCCAAACATGTACCTTCCATCACATTTACTAGAACTTTGATGAAACAAAGTGCCAGAATATACTCCACCAAATGAGTATACGATGAATGTTTTTGGCAAGAAAATAGATTGCATATTTATGCTGCAAACAAAAAAGATGATGTAAATGACAGAACATGGCCAGAAGTTACAATCCAAATGGAACATCAAGCACTATAATTTTAGTTTTGTAGCACTCATTAATATGATGTATATTGCCTTGACATATGCATAGACATATTGAAGCTGATTAAAGCGACTAATAGCTTCTTGTACTTCTAGAAATATTGTAACAAATATCTAAATCACCGTAACACATACATCTCAGTCCCGCAACCAAAGTACAGCAGCCTAAGCAAGTTAAATACCAATTCTTCTGTCAGTCAGTCTAATGATAAGTGTCAGATAACTGATCTATAAGAACCGTTTTAACTGTCATATATAAAGATGAATAGCAGTCAGTTTACATCTGAAAATGAATTTCTGAAAGTATTGACTGGATGAGTGAGGAAAACAAAGTACGCTGTAATTTATTTCTTAAAAAGCATGGAATTCAAACAAAATAATAATAATAACAAAAGAGACTGCATGAAAAATGTACATAAATTGAGCAAGATTTGTCTGTCAGAATAACATCCCTCTCTTAGCTCATTAGCCATACAATTTCGGAGTAATGCTAATTTGATCTCGGTCTCCTCCAAAGCACCATGAGCAAGTCGCACATGATGATTTGTGAATCAAACAATTTAGAAACTAAACAGAAAATCTGTTTGAACTAATTCTATTTAGAATTGTAAAAGGCAAAGTTTCTTACAAAAGAAGTACGGAGAGAAGATATAGAAAGATTTAGTTACTTGTAAAAAAAAATTATTCGGAAAAATTAGGTCATTGAGCAGAGAAATATGCTTATTCGATTGAGCAGACTCGATAATATCAGAAGAATGAAGAAATATAACGTTTCTGTTCATCAAGAAAATAATTCAGAAAGATTAAGACGAGTGTTTGAGAAAGAAACATACTCATACCAATCAGCATATTCGATAGAGTCGGAACAGAGAGAATTCAGAAAGATAGAGTTTCTCGTTACAAAAAAACATACTCATGATATCTTTCTCCCACACCAGCAGCAGAACGTTGCTCGCAAACTCGGAGAGGTCCAATTGAGCAGGATTCGGAAAGATGAAGTGAGCGAGCAGAGAAACCTACTAAGTCAAATCAGCAAACTCGATAGTTTGTAGCGCCTTCATCTGATAAGAATCCGAACTTAGTGAATATTGTCCTAGAAAATGCAAATCAAATGTTGCAAGTGAATATCAGAAACCGAATCCTGAATTTAGAGTACAGGATGAGCAGAAGTTTCGTATTGATTTGATTAGTTTAGAAATGAAAATGAAGCTCTACTTTATTGATATTCCTCACAGATAATTCCGAAAACATTGCAATGAGAGAGAGAGAGAGAGAGCTTACAGAAATGGTTGAAGTACGCTGCCGTAACCTCGAACTTGAAAGAAGAACAGCTAGATGAAGAAAATTCCACAGGATAACGATTTGATTTTCTTAAAAATGAAGACGAAGCTTCATTTTCTTGTTATTCCTTCACAATTGATACCAAATGATTGCAACAGCAGAGAGAGCGCACAAAAAGTTACGGAAACGGTTTATGCACTGTAACCTGGCCGTGCGAAGATGAAGAACTATAAGGAGAAGAAATAACCGAAAAATGATTTGATTTACATAACAATGAAAGTGAAGCTCTACTTGCTTCTTCACAGCGGATTCCATAAACTTTGCGACATCAGAGAGAGAAAGAGAGTTTACAGAGTTGCCGATACGATTGAAGTACGCCGCTAAGCCTGGAAGTAGGAAGACAAAAGCTATCAGAGGACGATTCCGCCGTCCGCCGTCAGGTAATTTACCTGCCGATGCTTCGATAACTCTCTCAAGTCTCCGCGCCAATTTCCAATCTTCAATTTTATCTCCCTCTAAAACCTATATATACTCCTTATCCCTCTCAGATCACAAATTTTCGTTTTTTTTTTTTTTTTTTTTTTCAAAATTCACATAATTTCCCTTCGCTATTACTTATTATTATTATTATTATTATTGAGAATAATAATAATAATATAAATAAATACTGCAATCTTAACTTAAAACTTTAGAAGCGCTAAATAGAGTTTAAAGAACAAAAATATATATATATTGTTAAAACTTGGAGATTTTGAAAAAAAAAAAGTTATTCAATAATTAATTTGTATATTTTTTATATAAATTTTTATTTTATTAAAATTAATGAATTTACAAAGATTTGGCAATAAAATGAACTTTATGGACATTGCATCTTTTATTTAAATTTAGGGTCCAATTTAATGAAATTATAGCATAGGATAAAAAAAATCCAGATTTACATATATGATGCTATTAGCATTACATGGATTTTATTTTTTAAAATTAAATGCCTCTCTCAAATGTGGAGTCCTTTTGAATTATCTTTTAATCAAATACTCTTGAAGAAATAATTCAATAATATATTTAATTCAAAATTTTGACTAGTTTAAAATTAATTTTAATTCTCAGTAAAATTAATTTTATTTAAAAAATAGTTTTTCTAAGTTAATCAAACACGCTATAATTTGAGTTAATTCCATTTCTACTGCTGAGGTTTCGACCCAGTGCCCAATGATGCAAGAATTTGAGTTCAACCATAAAAAACGCAATGCAAAGACTGCAAAGCTACTTTGGGTGCAATAAACCACAACGAAGTAACAATACTACATGAGCAAAACCAAGGTAAATAACCGTTCAATCCATGAACTCGGAACTTTCATCTACCAAATTAAGTCCAGAAGATATGTCAAGCGCAAAATGTTGTAAAAATAAATACCAAAAATTAGGAAAATAGGAAGACCTCTAAGCAGTTTTTCTAGCAATCTACTTCTTCTCTTCCTTCTCGGCCTCTGCTGCTCTCTTCAATCTAGCACCGACATGTCGTTCATTTGTCCTCTCAATACGTAGCTTGTCGTAAGCCTTGAATGATTTCATCTCCTCAGTGACCTTCACAAGCTCTACTGGGGCCTTCTCACGTCCAATAGGCAGGTATGGTCCTTGGACTTGAGTGGCATTTGCAAGCTCCTCCGGAGTTGAATCACCAGCCTACATGATCCATAAGCCAAAATGTTGAGATGAAACCACAAGTACATAACAAGTAGAACTTCAGTAGTATGATTTTAGACAAACTGACCTTGAATTTGCGAGCACGTCTTGGGAAGACAACCACCTTGGCCTTGTAAGTCTTCAGCCTCTGCACGTTAGCCTGTAGACTTTCGAGAGAGCGATTCCTTCGACGATGGTCAACTGCTATTCCAATTGTTGGTGCTAGTTTCTTGGGAATACCAGCAGCCTAAGAAGCCAATACTAGATAGGTGAGATGCCATATAAATGATCATGAACTAAATATAATAAAACCTTCCCGGCAACCATAACAGAATGTACATGCTTAAAATATACATCTAAGTAGAAGATTCAGTTTTAAGTGCACGTATCCTGAAAGCCAAGCTGAACAACATTCGATCTGAGCGATCTTACTAAAGTAAAGATCAAGAAACCAATTGACATTTATCAGCAACCATAAAACCACACTGCAAAGACATTTAAAGGGCTGGGAAGGTCAGGCTAATAGAAACTAAAAATGGGAGGACTGGATACCTTCAATTCCTCGAGAGAGAAGCCCCTCCCAGCCCTCACTTTCATGTTGTACTTCAATGTCTGCCCGTGAACAATGGGACGGAGTGGTCCAGCAGTTGGACGGGGAAAGTTCTTCACAGCTTTCTCTTGACGAGCTGATAGTAAATTCACCAAATCACTAGTTAGAGTACCATATCTAAGGAAAATTTAATGATATGGTGATGCACAGACGCCAGCGGAAGCACAGGAAAATAACATACAAAACAAAAAACAACACTAACCATTTCTTCTTCTGGTTTTCCGGGCAGGTTGGTTGAACCAGGTCCTGACATAGTTTTGCCAGTGCTTCCTAAAGTGACCGCTAGGGATAACATTGTTGTGCTTCATTTTTTACCTCTATCAAACCAGAAGTAAACAGCCTCAATTAGAAGGAAACAAGGACAAGAGCAAGAACCCTAAGCAATTCCAATCCACTAACTATTTTGGCTCAAAAATCGAAAAAGCAAATATACCATATCACGAGATCAATTAAAATATTTCTTTGAGCAAGATTTTTTTTTCCTTCAAGAAAACAGAACCCAAAATGGAGACCAGTTTGGAATATATATGCAGATCAGTCATATAACCCATGGTAAACCCGAAAAAGAACATTTTCTTCAGACGACATTTATAAGGCCACAGCAACCGAGTATTCTTAATCAATTAATGCAAATGTTACGCGGCAGATTCCTGTAAAAGATCTCGACACACAAACCAGCCGCTTGTATACAAGATATCGGAAAACAAAGACAATCACATATAGAGCAAAACTTCGTATATGAATGATAATGCTAAGCGTTCCTAAAATGATACTCAAATCAAATAATGCAGTCGAAGGAAGAGAATCGAGACGAACTTACTTAGAAGGAGAAATTAGTACAATAGAATTATCTTTTACAATATTCACACGGATTTCAAATTGCAACCAAAATACAAAGATGAGAAGCCATTCGTATAGCCACATGCAATGAGATACGGAAGAGGATAACCCAATCAAGAGATAGGGAGAAGACAATGGCGGCAAGCACTTACAACGCGGCGGAGCAGAGTGACCTTTCTCTTTCGACTTCCAGCCACTGAAATCTTGTTTAGCGGGAGCCCTAATATATTTGTAGAAACCCTAGGTTGTTAATCTCTAACTTGGGCTGACTCAGTATTCATATCTGATTGGGCTGGGCTGATAGTATTTCTATTATAGTGGACAAGGTTTTTAAAAAATTCGTTAAAAAAAACATTTCTCGTCGGAAATATTATAAGGGAACAAACTTTATAATTTGTAACAATTTAGTTTTCTTTAACTGAGATTTTACTAAAAATTAATAAAATTTCTGTATAATAATGATCTACTTATTGATTTAAGGCCTTGAAATATTATGATATTACATAGAATTTTTTATAATATAAATTAAATTATTACATATATACCTACTAAATTGCAATCGGTATCAAACATTTACTCAAGTTCACTGCTAATAAATATTGTTCACTTTGGCCGGTTACTTATCGTCATCAACCTCTGTTCAAGTTCTAGTAAATATTGTTCATTTTGGCTCGTTACTTATCGTCACCAGCCTGTTCAAGTTCACTGCTAGTAAATATTGTTCACTTTGGCCCGTTACTTATTGTCATCAGCCTCACAATTTAAAAACTCGTATTCTTGGGGGAGGTTTCAACATTTTTTACATCCATTTGTAGTAGTCCAAGCCCGCTGCAAGTAGATATTGTCTATTTTGGCCGATTATCCATCGTCATTAGCTTCACAATTTTAAAACACATTTTTTAGAGAGAGGTATCCACACTCTCTTCTCCTCTTCAATCGATATAAGATCTCACACCTATGATTATTTCATCAATAATCAACTATATAAATAATCGATTATTTTACTTATATTTAAATTAAACAAAATTGATGGCGGTCAAAATAAGCACAACTCAATAGACATCGGATTGTTCGAACTTGTAAATGCACATTATTATATAACCCAGAAGAGGAGTTTTTATTTTTATTTTTTTTATGGAACAATAACTTATAGCGAGAATGGCTTGCTGTACACATCGAAGGTTGAATGGGCAGTTAATTGGGGCTCCTGCAGCAAAATAAAAAATAAAATCAATATTTTACTTTTTAAAATTAATCTACTAAATTTTAATTAAGAATTATGTGAAACATTAAATTTGTTTATACATATTAAAATCTATCTAACCCGGTGTGACAAATATATATTAAAAATAATTATATCAATTTAAGTTCTATATATTAATTAATTAATATAGTTTCATTTTAAGACTTTAATGCATAACTTTATACGGGCATAGTTCTTATTATAAACTAAGCATTGACTCTCGACTAAAATAACAATATTGTTTAACTGTTATCAATCAATATGATATCATTTAAAGTCGAAAGTTCAAATCACACAACCGAAAAATTGGAGTTAAAGGAAGCGTACCTGTTTGAGTCTGCCTGATAAACTTCCGCCCGATAAAAGCATGGTGATAAGGCTTGTAACGATATCACCTCCAGAATTAACGTCGGTGTTTCGAATGGTGGACCTCATCGAATTTAACATATTACCGTACGTAGTTGCTTGTCCACTCTCAATGGCTTTGATGAAAGAAAAAGTCATGGCCCCAGTGGTAGTAACCTTTGACATAGCCTGTTCACATCAAGCTTCATCTTTTAGAGCTTAATTTCTTCCTCTTTATACCATTCAATCTAATTCTTCTTTTGTTTTTTTTGTTAATTTTAAACCTGAATAGCATCAAGATATTATGGATTTATAGATTTTAGCTCATTACAATTGGTAGATAGAATTTGGCTAAGAAAATAGTTACACATGCTCAGTAAGTTTTTTCTTTCGGACTTCTCTAAAAAATTTTGAAACGCTTCTGACAATGAGAGGTTTCCACACATTTATAAGAATGTTTTGTAATGTTTTGTTTTCTCTCTAACCGACGTGGAATCTCACAATCTATCTCACTTCGGAGCCTAGCATCTTCGTTGGCACTCGTTCCCTTCTCCAATCATGTGGGACTCATCGGAGCAGTGTCTTTGGTGGCACATCACTTGTGTCCAATTGTGAGATCCCAAATCGATTGAGAAGGAGAACAAAATATTTTTTTATAAGAGTGTGGAAACCTCTTCCTAAAAGATACATAATATCCACTTGGACGGTTAAAAATGAATTAATTAGACACGAACAAAGAGCAAAAGAGTTGGAGAGCTTACTTGTGTGTCTGCAGCAGTTTGGTTATCATCACAACCACTGAAAGATATCACTTCTCCCCCATTTGTTCCTTTGTATACGCCTGATGGAGGCCTATGATCCTCCCATCTGTAGCTTCCATCCCTGCCCAATATATATTTAAAAGAAACCAATTTTGGTTATTTAAAGAAAAAAAAAAAAATTGGTTAAGAGTTAGATATTTCTGTTTGTAGCGTTAAAAAAAAAAAAAAAAAAAAAAAAAAAA